ATAACGGTCACAAGCTGGCAGAGGGTAGATTTAGGCTAGATATCAGGAGACGCTACTTCATGGTCAGGGCAGCTAGGATCTGGAACCAACTTCCAAGAGAAGTGATGCTGGCTCCTACCCTGGGGGTCTTTAAGAGGAGGCCAGATGTACACCTTGCTGGGGTCGTTTGACCCCAGTACTCTTTCCTGCCATGGCAGGAAGTAGGACTCGATGATCTGCTCAGGTCCCTTCCGACCCTAGAAACTATGAAACAATGAAATGCAGGCTTATAAATGCTCTTGGCCAATCTAGTTTATAAAAAATAAAGCTCTTAATATCCATTTCAGTGGTTCTCCAACTTTCTGGACTTCAAGCACCCCTCCATAACTTTTGTGAACTGCATGGCAACCAATTTCAAAAGCTATATATTACAGTGCTTACTTCCTTGCAGAGGGGCCGGACAGTAGGGGTGTGGGGGACTGACCAGGCAGGGACAAGCCTGAGCCATCTGTTTTTCTCTTCACACCTCACTCCACCCTCCAAAGGATCTGGTGGGACCCTGGTTGAGAATCACTGATCTAACTTAACCATAAGCATACTCAAGCACTGCAATAGGCTCCCTGGGGAGGTGGTCGAATCCCCATGGACAACATCAGTCAGGGATGATCTTGGTCGGGGATGTCAAACTCCCTTGGTCTCCTGGGTGAGTGACTGCTGTCACAGCGATTAACATACCCATCACTTGCCCTTCCGCTGCCAACATATCCCCAGCAAGGTTCCATATGCCAGAATTAGCAACAGGCCTCGTCCCTACTCACCTTACACCTACTTGCCCTCCAGGAGCCCCAAACCACAAGTGAAAGAGCACCGCAGGCCACATCTTTGACACCCCAATCTAGGTATATTTAACCCTTCTTCAGAGCAAGAGGATGGACTAAGTGCCTCCTGAGGTCCCTTTGAGCTCCACACTGTATGATCTGAGTTTTTGTATCAGAGATTTCCACTTCTGGTTACAAAGCCAAGAAAACAAATAAGGGAAATAAACACACACTGCCCACTGAGGAAGAAGAGGTGCCTTGCTTACGTCACCTATGCATAACAATGCCATGCAAAGTTCCCAGCTCTGGATTTTTCTAACAATTAGAGGCCAGGAAATCAGCTCACTTTATCTGCAGCTGCATATGCAAAGAATACACTTAGAGAGCAAGAAAAGACTAATGGATTATTTCTCATCCAAGACATGCAGTGCGTATTTTCAAAGCAACCTCCTCATTGAGACTCTGAAATTGTGCATGCAAACAGAAAAACATGCTGTGCTGCATGGAAATAGAAACACAATAAAGAGCCACAAAGAAGCACATGCTGTGCACCTCTTATTAGAATCCTGCCTTTATTAGAAGATAAAAATATCTAACTGTATGCCTGCATAACCACAGAACATTTTTTTGTTTTATATTTTAAAATAAAGGCCTCTTGTCTCAGGGCTTCCTGTAGGGTCAGACAAGAGGCCACTAACTGTGGTCGACTTCCTAAGCATAACTAGTTTCAAACCACAGCAGGCACTTGCATTACTGTTTAAAAGAAAAAAACAGTTGTGGGCTATTTTGAGCAAGGCAGGAAGACCAACATATAGCTATTTATTACTATGTTATTCTTTTTGGATCTTTGGAGGCCAAGATCCTCCTCTACCAGAGCATATGAAGGTGGAAGATGCTACTGTCTGCTAAATGCCACCAAAAAACAACACAAGTACTGATGGGTTTTTTAATCAAAATATTTGTGAGGTTGACTGTGAGAGTGGGGAGGAAGTTAGATCCTCTTTTCTGAAGGCTCTGACAGTCTTATGAGCAGATGCCATGAGTGAAGGGGATTGGTTTGTTTAAAAGATTCCTTGTTTCTAACTCCACCACAAAAGAAAAGAGAACCTGAGAACACAGATTTGGCATCTTTTACCTCCTTACCTTGCCCAAAAATAATCTTTTTTGCACCTTAAATGCAATCCTGAGAGAAGTGATAATACAATTTTAAAAGCTATTTCAAATCTTGAACAGAAAACTCTTGGAGCTGTTCCTCAGCATTAGAGGGTCACACTGGGAAGGCAGAGAATGATGACATACCGTATTCTTATATACCACATGCTCCCCAAATAAAAAACACGCTTTGTTTTTGGGAAGGCAGACTGAAGAAAAAAAGATTTTTCCATGAAGTTTTTTCTGAAAAGTTATGGCCTCATACAAAACCTAATCTTCAGCTCACCCTCACTTTCCACTCAGACAAGAGCTACAATTTTAACCCTTTCACTGCTGAATTGTCAGAAGACCTTGGCTGGAGTTTTATATATTTATAGAAAAAAAAAAAACAGTGTTTCTTGCAGCTATAGGTATTTGAGATGAGCCCAGGTAAACATCAAGACTGGACAAATGGTGTCACTACACAAATATCAGGTTCTTCAAAGAGCTTCCTTCATCCTCACGCCGTCCAAACCTAAGCTTCAGCCAGCTGCTGATCTCATCCAAGCCCTTGGATAGCAAGGAAGAGGATGTTTTTGGATTTGATGTGAAAGTCAGTTTGGTATTATTTGCATATAGCTGGCATTTTGGTACGTGTTGCTGAAGAATTTTATTTACAGGCCTCAAAGATTTTTCAACAGGAGAGGTTAAAAAAAGGTGAATCTTTGCAGGGCTCCAAATATGACAGATTTGGGGAACAGTTTATTTCCATGCTGGTCTGACATACTTAAGTTGTTCTCCCTTTAGGAGGTGTTGGAAAGGGTGCTTGTGAGAAGGGAAATAATCCCTAATTCTCTCTAAAGCTCATTTTAATTGTACCTGTCATGTGCTCAGTTTGTTTCCCAACAACTGGAGACAGAGTTTATATTTGTGTCTTCCTCCAGCATTAGCTTTTATCACCAGAACACGATAAACAGATTCAGCAGCCCCCATGTGTATCAGGCCAGCTGTTATAACAGTGACTCCATCAAGCCTACCTGTTCCTCCACTAGCTGAAGTCTCTACATAGCTCTCAGGAACCTTTGGAAAAGCATCCAACTCTTTCATCAAATTCAGGGTCTTCTTCCGATTCAGTCGCCTCATCTTCAGCAGATTCCCCGACTTCCTCCTTCATATATTCACACTGTGTTGAGAATTATATTCCAATTAAAAGACACAACAACAAACACTCTTCAACCCTAAAACTGACCGCAGATGAACATCTCACAATCTCTGCACTAGAAAAATGTATTCCAATTCCTGATGACTGCATATCAACCTTCCTGTCATTTAAAAGAGCTAAGGGAAGGGAAAAGCTTTCCTACCTTGACAAGTATTTTGTTTCTTTGTCCTCCTGTTTTCCATTTTTGTTTCCTCCCACCCCACTCTCCCAAGGAAAAATAGCAGCTTTTACTGAAGGCAAACCATATCTTCTAGGGCTGAATACTTATTTCATATGCAGGAGGAGACTCAACAAGGCAATAGCAGAAGCAAGTGGAGAAGGTAAGTATTACGATACACCAAAGTTGCTTTACATGCATAGTAAGCAAGAAAGAATTGAGTGACATCAGAGATCTGCCATAGTCTGTAACCATTTTTTAAACATACTATAGCTCTCATGTCAGGCTAGAACAGGGGTGTCCAACCTTTTTGAATGTGGGCCAGATCATGAACTTTTTATCACCCAGTGGGATGGCAAGCCATATTCAAAGACCTCACAGGAAGCGGTATCACATCACCCCCCTGAAACGAAAGTACAATGTTTACTTTCGTTTCTCGTCACAGCACCTCAGGCCTCAGAACATGGCTTGGAGGGCCGCCCGCGGGCCATATGTTGGACAAGCCAGGGCTAGAAGGCAGTTTACAGCTCAGCTTGCTATACCTAGACTATTTAGGGAAAAGCACACATACCAGAAGATCCCCACCCCTGTCAAACTGTGCAGGAAAACAGGTAAGCATGGTTTCAGTAAAATCTTGCACTGACTTTTCACTGCCTTCAGGGAAGTTAATCTAGCATGCCAAGCCTTTCAGAAGTTAAGGAGATGAGATACTACAGTGGGGCAACTCAGAGATGGTGATGATGGAGGTCCCCTAAATAGGTAGATACTTTGTAAGGCAGAGTACAAAACCTGTGGAGCCTTGGTAGGTAGGTTCTGTCTTGGTGTAGAACCACATTAGTTCAACCCTTATTTGTATTCAGAATGTTTTAATCACAGGCCCACGTATAGAAAAGCACTTTAAAAAGCGTGAGACTTAGATGCTGCAGAAGTTGAGAATACTTCATTTTCCCAGTCATCCTCCCTGAATGGGGGTGTAGATTTTTGAAGTTTATCTCACTCACTACTTGGGTGCTCTAATCCCAAAAGCATGGCTCACAATGAAAACAAACCCATTTGAAAAATCTTAGAGAAAAATGAAGATACATTTCATTTCCCTGCCTATTCTTTCCCACCTCAGTACATATTGTGCACAGACAACAACATTAGGCATTTAAAGTTTGGGGTGCACAGTCAAGCCATGTAAAGTACTGTTAGAAAAAAAGATGCACATTTGTTATGAGGAGGGTTAAAAGATCGGTAATTTGATCATAATTAGTGAAAGGGATTATGAACAACACAAACGTTAATCAAGAACAAGTGTGCAGCTAAAAGTAGGAAATTCAAAGCAAGCTTTTGTGTTCTTACATACTCTAGATACAAGTGCATATACTCATACGTTACCTTGACGGCACACGTAAGAAAAGCCATTTATTATCACTACATTTTATATACACCTGGAAATTCCACACCCAATTTTTATCAAAAGGCACCATGGATCAGATTCAAAGTATGCCCACACTTTTTATCTAACTCATACAAAATCCCAAAGCTGTCTTACCTTGACCTGTTGTCTCTATTGCTGTTCCTATGTACTGTGGAGTAAGGTACTGAAATGAAAGAATCCAAAATGATGTTAATCTGCATGTATTCATTTTTCCTGCCTCCCAAAACATGTGTAAGTGCTGGACTTAGAGACAGAGCACCTTTTTAATTTTTTCATTGACTCTCCTCTCTCCCCCACATCCCCTTTGCAAAAACATGTAGGCTGAGGAGGGGAGGAAGGTGGTGGGAGGAGGAAAGGTTGCTGAAGTGATTTGAGGAAAGCATTATAAAATGCTTGGAGTGGAGAGATGCTAGAATAAAGCAGTGGTGGAAAGAGGGCTGCAGGTTAGAGAGATTTCATAGACATTAGGGCTGGAAGGGACCTTGGAAGATCATTGAGTCCAGCCCCCCGCCCAAGGGGAAAGAAGTCAGCTGAGGTTATAAGATCCCAGCAAGATAAGCATCCGATTTTCTCTTGAAGGTGTTCAATGTAGGTGCTTGAACCACCTCCGATGTCTGGAATACCTGCTCTTGGGGGGCTCGGACAGTAAAGAAATTCTTCCTGAAGTCCAGCCTGAAACGGTCTTGCAGAAGTTTATAACCATTCAACCTCATCATCCCTTGGGGCGCTCTGGTGAATAATCGTTCCCCCAGATACTGGTGGTCACCCCTGATAAACTTATAGGTGGCCACCAGATCACCCCTGAGCCTGCGCTTTTCCAGGCTAAAGAGCCCCATAGCTCTCAGCCTGTCATCATAAGGTCTGTTTTCC